ATTTGTTTTAAGGTTAGACACAACTAAACAATTCACATGTGAGACCAAAAAACGAAATCAATAAACTATCTAAAAAAAGTAATCCAAAACCAAAGCGACCTTGTTTTATATGTGGTGTGCATCAATCAGCACTTTCAAGACATTTTCTAACACATAAAAGTGATCCTAGAATATGTGAGGCTTTTAAATTGTCTAAAATAGAGCGTCATAAAGCATTTGATTCTTTTAAAAAACAAGGGATTCATCAGTTTAACTTAAATGAAGTCCAAAACAGTAATCCAAAGTTTCTAAGGGAAAGAGCACAACGTTCCAAAAAAAATATGCAATCTGAAAAATTCTTAAATTCAAACAACTTGCTTATGTGCTTAAAATGCAAAAGTTTCTTTGCAAAGAGTTATAAAACCAGACATCAGATAAATTGTGGTGAAGATTCTTGTCAAGCCTTAATACCATCTATTGCAATTTAGGAAATAGATAAATATAATTTTTTAGACAATGATTTCAAGTTAAATATTTTAAATGTCATAAATAACGATGAAATTGGCACGCTAGCTAAAAGTGATAGCATTATTTTGATGATAGGATCTCGCTTGTATGGTAAAATTAAAAGAAGGTTTGATAAAAAGTTGAAGGTTGAGAAATCGGTTAGGTGCTCAATGCGCCGCCTTGCCAACATTTATAATAGATTTACAATTGAAAAAACAGAATATCCTGCTAAAATGTTAGCAATTGAGCAAGGTAATTCTGGTGATATGTTTTTGAGAGAAAATATTGACTATTTAAAAAAAGCAATTGAAAATTATAGCGATAAAAGTGAAGATAAGATAAAATCTGGTTTAAAAAGTGGCATCTATTATTTACTTAAGGACTCAGCTGAGAAATGTATGGGATATTACTTAAAGACAGATCGTGATGATTTGTCTAAAGAAGTTTCAAATTTTTTGTACATATTTGGGCTTATGAAAGATTGATGAAATTTTTTTAGACACTGTTTATGATTTAAATAAACGTAGAAACGAAAAATATAAAAAACCTGCACAGCTTCCAATGGAAGAAGATATTCAAACTATAAGAAATCATATTGTTACTACTATGGAAAAACTGACTAGCAAATATGAAATAATTGATGGACATTCCTTTATTCAATTAAGAGACTGTGCTTGTGCTCGATTAACTATTTTTAATGGCAGGCGTGGTGGTGAACCTGCAAGACTAACAATTAAAGAATGGGAAAATGCTTTGAATAATGTATGGCTAGACAAACAAAGAATAAAAAATACACTATCTGAAAGTCAATTAGAAGATGGGATGAAAATTACTTATCAGTCTGGGAAAGGGGTTAATCATTCAGTCCTTGTTTTAATTCCAACTGATACTATTGAAGCAATGAAGTTGTTAGGTTCTGCCGATATTAGAACTCAGGCTGGAGTTTCAGCAAATAATATTTACATTTTCCCAAGTACACAATCTTCACTTTATCACTGCTCTGGATGGCATAGTCTAAAAAATATAATCAAGCAACTTAACTTGATAGATGAATCAAAAGTTACTGGTACAAATAATCACCATCGACTCTATACACTAGTGGCTGGTTTAGGAGTTTCAGATGCCCAAATGAGTTTGGCATATGATCACTTTGGGCACAGTGAAACAATTAACAAGACAATATATCAAGCTCCGGCAGCTCATCGACAGCTTCTCTCAACAGGAAAACATCTTGAAGCTATTGATCAAAATTCCTGTATGTATAAATATATTTTTAATTTGTTTGAATAATTTTTTTAAAGAAATGTCAACCCAAAGCAAAAGTTATTTTAATTTTATATTTATAAATCTTTTTTTTTTAGTAAAGCAAGATTTAAAAAAAAACAATAAATATTGATAAAAAAGAACAGAAAAATCGACTTGTAGAAAAACAAGAGAAGCCAATAAAACTAGCTAAAGTTTTTTTAACAAGATCTAAGGCAAAACTTGAGGCTAGTGTTGAAAGTAGCACTCCAATCAGTTTGAATAAACAAGGTGTGAATCTTATTTAAATTTTTAGTTATCTAGTATATTTTTTATTTATTGTAAATAATGTTTTATTTGTATTTTAAATGATTCCTTTATACTGAATATTTTTATTTAGTAATAATAATTTTTTACTATTACTCTGTACTCTAGTTCCAGAAATTGCAAATGAAAGTCTTGAAAATCATTTTTCTACTGAATATGAAAGCAATTCAAGCGAATCGGAGTTTGAATTTAAAACTAATGTAAACCAAATTAATAAAACTAAAAAAAGTTTTGTCTGAGGTATAACTTTTATTGCACGAGTCAAAGTTTTGTAATTTATATTTGTATTACTTATTTTAAAGACTTTAATTTTAATGATCGCATTAAATTAAAAAAAAAAAAGATTTATTTAAGATTACATTAAACTAGACATATCATTAAAAAAAAATTTCTGTAACTGCTGAAGTGGAGGTGTTAGATGCGTTATTTCCCCGCCCCCACAATTTAAAAGTAGAAAAGAGAACCTAATAATGAAATGATTATCCTTATTTATAACCTTGGATTAGCTCCCTTACTATAAATATCAACTGATATTTAAAGTGGGGAAGCCAAATTAGCTATTTTCATATTTTTTTGTTATTAACAGTTATATAACTATACTTATTTGAGCACAGAAAGCAAGAAAATATTTAAAAACAAACAATTTCTTATTTTCAATATAATAATTAGACAACTTTTGATAATTCAAGTTTTAATAAATGTGTTTTAAACTTTCATTTTATTGTATCGAGTTTACGTTCAGACATAAGGCCAAATGAAAGAGTAAAATTTGGGGCATTTGAAACAATTAGATATATGTGCAATCTTTTAGGTTTCTGGGGTTGGCTGTAAAAGTTATATAATATATATTTAGGTCCTAAATATAACCAATGGGATAACGAAAATGAGAGTGCGTTTTTTCAAAGGTTTATGGAGTATGTTAGTTTAAGTATAGGATATCGAAGTAAGTGTATATTAGACAAGATTTTTATTTAAGATTTTCATCAACTTATCTTTTTAATTATCATTTTTAGCAATTAAGGTTGAAATAAGAAAAAACATATGTTAAAAAATTTAATAAACATTTTTTGATATTTATTACTTTTTGCAAGGTTACAAAATATTACAAAATGATTCTTATTTTACTTTTGATTTAAGTAGAAATGTTTGTAATCTTTATTTTCAAATATAGTACATATTTTATCTATTATAGGTCGACAAGAATTGACTGAATTTGGAATAAAATACAGGTTTAACTACGGTACAGTTAGAAATAAAATCACTAACGAAAGAGCAAAAAAGATGCGAATCGTCTCCCAAAGAATAAACGATATTCAAATGTAATTTAATAGAATTTAAAACAAAAATCAGACTTAAAAACATTTTTAAATATAAAAAAGATATTTCCTATGCCACGGTGATACTTGTGTTACAAAAACAGGCATTTTTTCTTTATACCGGCCCTTGTAATTATAAGAATTGTTATCCAGAATAACCACTTTTTTTTATTGTCGACTTTAGGAAGATATAATAAAAAAATAGGGTAAAGTTGACTTACAACAAAAAAAATTTGCAACAAAAAAAGTCGACTTAATATTGAAAATCAAATTAAAGTTATGAAATATAAAATTGCCAAGAAAAAAAGAAGCCATTCCTTTGATTTTCGACAAAAAAAAAACTAAAATTGACAATGTTAGACTGATTTTTGCAGTGTTGACTTTCCGCGGGTATTTTATTGCTGTCGACTCTAAGATCATCTAGTGTTATATATATATATATATATATATATATATATATATATATATATATATATATATATATATATATATATATATATATATACACACACACACAGGGCCAATTCTAGGAAAAAAATTTGGGTGGCGATACCCCCTTTTTGATTTTTTTTTAGCAAAAAAAAAATAAACGTTTTTTTTTTGCTAAAAAAACAATATTTGCTGTAAAAAACGTCAAAAAAAGTCAAAAAAAAAAAAAAAAAAAAAAAAAGTCAAAAAAAAAAAAAAAAAATTTTGGATTTGGATTTGGGGGTTGGATTTGGTTTTGGATTTGGGGGTTGCGTTAGTATAAAATTGTATTTTTTAATGTTAGTTTGTATTTGTAATTTATTTATTATGTTAAATATCTCATATTTAAATATTATCTTTTAATTTGGCAGAGTTTAAAAGCGTATTTTACTTTTATAATTTATAACTTAAGTTTTAGTTTAGTACAATAAACAAGTTATGATGTAATGAGCAAGTAAAGTATTTAATGCTATTAAGATATTACTTTTAGTACAATATTACTTTTAGTAATACATACATGCTGACAATAAAACACGTTATTTTTAAAGAGTATTGAATTGTTATTGTAAAAAACTGCAAAACAACAATAAAACAAACTGCAAAGTTTAAAGCTTGTGTTAATATAAAACAAATTAATAAGGTTGTTTGTGCTGCTGTTTTATAAAGTTAAGTTTTTATAACATTAATATCATAAAACGCGTTTAAAATAAAATGAATTTAATAAATAGAAATTTAAAAGAAATTTAATTATAAAAAAATGCATAGGCATGGATATTCGTGGACCAAACAAGTAAGGTCAAAGCAAAAAAACATTAGATACAACATTTATATAATTTATTGCTATTACTATTAAAAATCTTAGAATAATAAATGTTCTATTAAAAATTTTTGTTTAAATTGTTTTATAACTAAAGGTGAAAAAAAAATTTGGTTTATATTTGAATCAATCTTCCAATCTTCCAATCGAATTATATTTCGTTAAGTTTAAGTAAATGCTTAAATTATTTTTTTGGAAAAAAATTTTCCTTGAATAGAAGAAAACAATTTTATTTTTATTTTTTGAAGCAAAAAAAAAATACTGTTGAATTTATGTTAAAGCAAAAAATTTACTAGTTTCTATTAGCAGCATTGCATTTTTTAATAAAAACAAATTTAATATAT